TCAACATCAATCATCTTACTGTTGCACGGAAAGGCCCCACCACTGACAAGGAAACCAGAATAAAGCCAGCAAGTCTTGAAAATTCAAACCGGTTGGAGCATAGAAGCAAGATTTTACTACGGGTTTACCTGCTTGCAGCTTTTATATTTAGTTCAAAATGCTCTAAAAGCAAGCCAAGCTCGTCACAAGAAGGAAGAGTTTGTCTTCCTTTTGAACTGCAAGCATTAAGACTTTTGCGGGAATCTCATACATTGCTCACTTCCCTTCAAAACAAAGCTGAATGAAACCTGCAGGGTCAAGTATGTTTCAGATGTCTGTCTCAACAACAGAACTAACTAGAAAGGACGAGAGTTCAAGGGGATTGCTCCTTGTCTCCTTATTCTCTGCTACTATTTCCGTATCTCAACAAACTCCCTGTTCATCTGACTCCCAGTCTTAAACTAAAACACACCTTCCCTATCTAATTTCTTAGAACAGCCTTTAAATAGAGTAGACTGCATTTAAAACACGTCCAGAATATGCACCCGCAGACTGCTGCAGAGATGTTGTCTGAACATCTCCAGACTCTCCTACACCAGGCAAGGAACAAAATGGTTTGCCCATGTCTGGGACATGCCTATATGAATCACAGCAGCTTTAAGGCTGTCTTGCCAAATCAGAGATTTATGGCACAAATGTAACTCAGATTCACCATTTACATTTCGTTCTGGAAAAGCTGCAGTGTTGCCAGCCAACATCTAAATCAGATTAGGAGAAACAAAGATTTATGTATCTTGGAATATATCTGGAGGTTCTGCTTTGAATACAAAGCCTAAAAATAAAAACAATTTCAAAATGCCCAAAACCTCAAAAAATAAATACAAAAACAGAAAACAAGGATGCTGCTTCCCAAAGTATTATCTGACTTAGAGCTTTCATATCAAGACAGGTATCCTACCTGCTTAAATGACATTTCTCTAGTAGAAACAGACACAAAACATACCGAAAAGTCCATGACAGCAGCTTCCCATAAATGTCCTAATTAAATACATATACATACAAAGAACATAAAAATGCTTAAACAATTGTTACATTTGCAAACAAAGTTGCTTATTACTTAAATCCCTTACATTTTACCTTTGGCTAAAATAAACCAAATAGAAACATTTTCACATTAGAAAGTTTTATAGTACTGGAAATATCTGCAGCCCTCAAAATGTACAGATTCACAATTCTTCCTACCTTTTTATTCTTGAAGTGTTTTATGTAAAATAAAAGCACTGTGAAAACTGCTTTTATTGATGGCTAAAAGTAAACTCAAACTCCAAATTAAATATCTGCTAGCTATCTTTTAGTGTATGAAATTGGTTCTTCTGCAAACTTCTTATACAGACTTCATATATATATATTTTAATATTTCTCATTTTTAAGATGCATACACACATGCACAAACCCTAGCCACTTACACTACCTTTTCCTTGCCAGGCTTGAGGAAAATTAAACCCACTCTAACCTGAAATGACCTGACTTTGGAAAGCAAAGGCAATATAGGAGAGCAATTTTTCATGTTACAGTTCAAGCATCACTTATTCTTTCACACGTGCAGACACTTATTAAAGGAAGTCACAGCTACAAGCAGTAACGTGGTAAGAAATGTAGTCATTTACAAAGGGTTTACAGAAAACAAATTTGTGGGGTAGAGGAGGGTGTGAAAATAAACCACAGATGCAAATCTAGTTGGCTGATATTACAGTAAGTACATGCACAGAAGTTTAATACTGTAAAATCTTCAGACCCAACTGGACACATTGTCCACACAGCAAAACTACTGCCTTCCCTGTAAAATTTCACTTGTAAAAACACCTTGTTGATCTAGCAAGGGAGCTGCAATTGTCCCCTGGAATACCTTCAATCCCTTACAAAGTGCTGGCAACAGTGGTTCTGGCCTTGAACTGGAGAGGGAAGCAGTATCTTCTAAAAAAAATATGAGATGCAGGACACTTTGTGCCTTGCACAGAGAGCTTCAGAGCATCTCTTCTACATATTTTTCCAAGTTCACAAGAAGAAAAGCTGAAGACCACTTATCTTGGCCTGCACTGTCAGAAGTGTTCTGAGAAATCATTTTATTTACTTGTATTTCTGCTACGCAGCTATGTAAGCCACGTGGGCTTATGCCAGTCTGCTGAGTAGTTGATACATATACTGAAAAACTCCATAGACTTGGTAATTCACACACACACATATATAAGTATATATATATACATGTATATATATGTATATATTTATGTGTGTGTGTATATATATGTGTGTATATATATATGTATATATATATATATATATTCTCATTTCCAAGGGTCAATCACAATTAAAACTCAAATCCAGATCACTCAGGCCACATAAATACTCAAAATAACAACACAAGCTAAGAGGGATTGGGGTTTTTGTTTGTTTGTTTGTTTTTGTGTGTGTGTGTGTGTGGATTTTTTTCTCCTTCCTATAACTGATGGAGTCTCATCATCAGCATGCTTGGTGTCCTTCACAGTTTGGAAACTTTCTGTTTTGAACACGACCAACTTAAGTGAACATCAACATAAACAGCATCAGGAGACTGAACATCCGAACCCAAGGATTTGGAACAGCAACCATTGTAAATTCACTGAGAAAAAGGCCCCTCAATGGCTTAATTTTGAAGCCTGTGGATGGTTTATCAAAGGGAACCCAAATATCAGCTCAGATGCAATTACACTTCCAACGCTAAACTCTCTGTGGAGAAGAAAAAGGAGATAGCAATTGTCTACCAAGTTTTTCAAGTCTATAGCAAATGTCTTCTTTGCTAATAGCAGGGTGAGTTATTTAATTTTTTTAGCAGCATAGCACTCTGAGATATCACCCTTTAATCACTTTCTAAAGAGTAATGATCAAACTCCATTGGTTACGGTAAACATGACAAGGAGGTAACCACTAAACAGAATTTACTTAAAATCATTCAAGAAATCATATTAGCACTTATTAAGTAACTTGTCAAAAGCAGACACCTTGAGCAAATGACCCATCAGGTATTTTTTAAAGTCGTTGTTTAGAAGTAAGTTGTTTGAAGGACAAACATGACACTAAGAATAGCTGGGTGAAAACAGACAAATGAGTCAGTTCTTCACCCAAAGGAAACACCGATGTGCCAGGTGGCATTATAGGGTTTTCTCACATGCTCTGAGCAAGGAATGTTACAGCTAATGAAAACTAAGAGTATTTCCTCATACAGGTGACTTGTTTGGGGTGGAGTTTTCAGACGTGGGCTTAAAATACATACATCAACAGTGCAACTTGGAAGTGCCTCATCAACACATGGTCGTTAGACAGTGATGCTAGTGATCCTTGTCCAGAATTCTGCCTGAAAAGCCAAAGGGGAAAAACAATTCCAAGATGCAAACCGTCAGTGCAGTTTTCAAACTAGGAAAAAACCCGTAAATTCAATCTGCAGCTGTGCACTACCTTTAAGTATATAATGCGTGAATGGAAAAAAAAGTGAGACATCCTGGGCAAATGCCTTTCACATTTTTCTATCTGTTACCATTACCAAAACCATCCAATTCTTCAAATGACAAAACTAAAACCTGAATGCCCACTTTTTTAACTCCAGTTTTTTCAAGTCCGCGATAGAATAAGAGACCACAGAAGACCGGCTTTGTGCATTTTCTCAATGTAAGAAATTTTCACTTGAGTTTGGGGTTTTTTGGCTAATGAGGGCAAGCAGTGACTTTCTGCTATGCAGTCGGAACAACACATCCCTTGGAAAAGTTTTAAGCAAATATTAAACCGTTCTTCCAGCACTTGCTTTGCACCACACAGAAACTACTTCCACCCAACTTAACTGCGCACCCTCTTTACCCACAGCAATGACAAAGGCAGGAGATACATCAAAAACTGCACCTACAGTTCTTGTGTGATACCCACCCAAACGACGAGGCTCATGTACAACCCGACTCTTTCAGATGTGGTTTTGGAGCTGCAACCCAAGCCGGCTGGGCTGCATAGGCTCATGAACACATGAGGGTGCCGTTTTGGTTTTGTTTGTTCTTTTTTTGTTTGGTTGGTTTGGTTTTTTGTTTTTCTTTAAAGAGGGACACAGAGATCCCCTCTTGTCCCTATGACACCACTCGATTTCGCTGCATCAGAACGAGCCATGATTTTGTCACCTTCAAGAGCCTCAGCTGAGGTCATGCAGGCAGACGAGGAGAGCTAGTGATTCCTTCTCCCCTCCCTGGCGTCAGGCGAGGTTTAAAAGGTTCAAACTCCACACTGGTCTCAGCTCCTCCATGCCATCAGGCATTTCGGCAGCTAGGGGCACGCCTGGGATGGATCCACTGCGAACTGCTGAGGTGGTTGGTGGCTCACAGCAGGTCCATCATCACAGGATGGGCCGTGGCACTGCTGGATCATGGCAAACACCAGAGGTCACCACAAAGGAGTGAGCAGTGCCACACCTCCGACTTTTTATTATTATTGTTAGAACTTTTATTATCATCATTACCAGGGTTGTAGTTATTTATTATAATTATTAAAATTATTATTGCTAGACTTACTACTGTCAGAACTAATTCTTATCACTTGCTAACAGGAGTAGAATTTTCAGTATTGTTGTTGTTTCTGGACTTGACTTCTGCGATTTACTACTATTACTATTAAAATTTTTATTACTACTGTTAGAAATTTTTTTGTAGAATGTGTTGTTTTCATTATTATATTTTGGACTTTATTTTTTAGCATCATATTTTATTAACGTATTTCAGTATTACATTTCAGCACCGCATTTTAGTATTACATTTTTGGATTGGTTTTAATTACTATGCTTTGTTAGTTAGTATGTTTTAGCGTTATACAGTTTGTTGCTAGTCGTTATTATTAGAGCTTTCATTAGCAGTATTTTTAGTCTTTTTTTTTTTTTTCCTCCCCCCACACCTGGCCCCGGACGCGTCCCCAGCCGGTCCCGCCCGACCCCCCCGGCGCGCCGGCAGCCCCCTTACCCTCGCACTGGTAGCCGGCCAGCCCCCAGATGAAATCGGTGCAGTAGTGGC